AGGAACCCTTAAAGGATCCCTTTAACGGTACCCCTCATTGTCGGAAACTCCCAAATCCCAAGGTATGTTGGCGATGCCTTTGGCCGCTACTGGACTCTCACGGAGCCCCTCACGGATGTTGGCCTGCAGAGTCCCTCGGAGCTTTGTCAAACCTTCCGGTTTAGGGTTTGGGGCTTTGGGGGGGATTTAGGATATGGGACTTTCCGAAAATTAGGGGTACCTTATTTGGGGGTCCGTATAATAAGAATCCTACTATGTAGGGTACTATTAGGGGCCCCTATTTCCGGAAACTCCCATAGAGGTCTTCAGCGTGGTGGTCCGATGGGACATGCCACGAGCGCTATGTAACTTCTCAAACCACCCTTAGCTGAGGACCCGATGTTTTAGTTCGATGCTTGCCCGGGGGGTCAGTCTTCGATGGTAATGATACCGGGTTGCTGTTAGATTTGGCGTAGGCTTATGATTTCATGGTAGTTGGTTGTTCGTCGCCCGCAGGTTGGTGGACGAGGTGCGAGTGTGAGCGTCGAAAGCAAAAAAAATTGCCTTGAAACCTGTAAGATTAAGACGTAGATGCTTGCAGACCCTAAACCCCACCGCAGAATCCTCGCCCAGGCTTGTCCGAGAGTAAGTGCTGAAACCCCAGAAGCCCTATAAACCCTGAACCCTAAACCCTAAACCCTAAACCCTAAACCCCGAACCGTAGACTCAGGTCTTTGGTATCTTCTCCTTGGTGCCAAACGCGTGGTCTTGGCGAGCATCCTGCGAACCGGGAAAGAGGACGAGTCTGTTTCTTGCTGGGTTTTAGGGGTTTTGGGCCTGGTGTTTTTTCGTGTCTAGTGGTGGGTTAGCAAGGTATACAGCGAGGTTCAGGATTTCAGGTGTAGCCTAAGTTTCTCATAGCAGGACAGTGTTGGGTTTCAAACCCGGGGCACCTACAAAAGTTAATGATCCTACTTCGTGTCAGGCGGATAGCGGTCTGCCGGACGATTGTGAAGACTGGCATCCTGAAAGCATTCGAGGTCTTGTGCAGCTTCGAACTGGCGTATGGGTATGTATGGGTTGAAGACGTACGATTTGGAGTCAAATTTAGAGGTTGTCGTAGAACCTTAGTAGCTGAATGGGTGCACTTTACACTTCTGGAGGTATGATCTCCTATATAACTGAAAGTGTACATTTTTTGCACATGATACGAAACGGAAGAGCATTGTCATGCTCGAATCGATTGTCCGGAAGTCGGGCAAAGCAAGAGTTTCGGAGTGGCGGAGAATGGGTTTTCTTTGTAAGCGAGTCCGGGCTGCCATGTTGGGATTCGGACACATGGAAAGCTCACGAAGGTTGGTTCCTTGGCACAGCGTAGGAAGATGGTTGGGCATGTGATGTGCCGGAGGGTATGTCGTGCAAGCCTGATAACTTGTCAGCTCCATTCATGCCTACGACCGCTACAAAGAAGTGAAGAATGTGCTTCCAGTTGCTTAGGCGCAGATGACGTCGCGCCTTCCTTGAACCCAGGTATTCGTCAATCTTCACCTTCGCAAAGCCGGCCAACAGCGGCACCGTGATGCGTCTCGGGCATTTGGTTCGGGTTCGATGTCTGGATCATTCCTTTGTCGAGGGATCCGTTCACAATAGAACCTGCAAGAACCCAGTGGAGATATGCAGTGTGAAGAAGCATCGCTTGCAGACATTTAGCAAGAAGAACCCGTTCACAATAGAACCTGCAAGAACCCATTCGAGACATGCAGTGTGAAGAAGCATCGCTTGCAGACATTTTGCAAGAAGACAAACCGAGAAGTCGTAGCTAAACCCTTAACCCGAATGCTAGGCCCTAAACCCCTATGTTTCAAAGCAGTCGCGAAATCACGTGCAGTGCTACCACTATACGTCCTGGTAGCAAGCTGGCCTTCATCCATCCGTGCCTACCTCGTGCGAGTGTGCGTGTCGAAACACCCCTAAACCCTAAACCCCCAAACCCCTAAACCCTAAATCCTGAACCCCTAAACCCTCATAGATCCCTTAAAGGAACCCTTATAGCCTTATAGATCGCTTTAAAAGGAAACCCTACAATCCCCATGCCTCGCCTCTCCGCGAAAGCTCAGGCACTCCCTCCGCGGGTTGAAGAGCAAGGCTCGGCCCAGACGGGGAGACTTACGGTTTTGGGGTTTAGGGTGCAGGGTTGAAAGGAGAGGGTTTGGGGTTTAGGGTGTGAGGTTTGGGGTTTAGGGTTTGGGGTCTAGGGTTTGGCATCTAGGGCTTAGGGTTCGGGGTTGGAGTTTGAGACTTGCCAGTAAAGCAGCTATATTTCTAATATCCCCGATCAAGGTAACCCCGAACCCTCAACAAACTCCAAGCCCTAGTACCTAACCCCCCCGATCCTCTAGGTAGGCTTGAGGGGTTCCGGGGTTGGGTACCCCCTGAGTGTGGAGGCTCGGGACTTGGGGTTTAGAGATGCTGGGTTTTTGGTGAGGAACTCAGTGCAAGTTACTAGCACAGCGAGACAGAAAGTATATTCCTTTCTTGTATCAATGATAAGCGCCGTAGTAATCATGATCTTATAGCTAGGGTACTCTGGGGCTGAGTTCCCTAGCCCAAAAAAGGTTAACTTTTTGAATTATGGTAGGATTATACAAACCCCAAACGTCCAAAAGGTTAAAGGTTACCCACTTAGCTAATTAGGGTAAGGATGATAGTGTGTTCGTCTGCCCTTGAGCTCAATGCCAGATTCGGCTGACACATGCATTCGGACATTGAACTGAAAGTAGGTTTGAGAAGTTAGTCTGTCTACAGTATAGATGCGGTCAGACCGATGGAAGAACAAGACATTTATTTATACCAATTAGCTTGGCAAGCGCTTGATGTGTTCCGTACGACTTACAACGGGTTGGGTTAATGAACAGTCGGGAACAGTCATGTGGCCCTATGCGCCTTCTACCCCTGTCCCCGCACTATCCCGACCCAAATTGGAAGAGTCTGTTCCGGACGCGGCCTATTCCTACTCGTTGAGGGGAGGCAGGCAGTGTTCATCAAAGTCCCTGACAGTTACGATGGAAGTTCCCCGACTTGGGGGTACACCTCATATCCGGCACCTCAACCTGAACCCAATCGTCCACCTGAAGGTCGGAAGTTCCCGGAGAAAGCCGCAAAGCCCTTCCAAAGTACATCCCTCACAATCTTAGCCGCTCAGTGGATTGGGGCTTATGTAATCCTACCCTAATTGAAAAGGTTAACCTGTTTTTACCTGCTTTTGGGTTAGGGTACTCAGCCCCTAAGTAATTAGGGGAGCGGGCCTCCAAGGTTTCCAGCAAAAGCTTAGCGAAGCAAGGGGCTGGCTTGAATAGTTGTGAAGCGTATTCCCTCTGAGTCCGTCCTGAGAAGAACCCTGTCCTCTGTTCCCTGTATCATTATACGATCTACCCCTAGGCTTCTGGGTTGGTCCTTCCACATGGCTAGACCCGGAGCGATGCAGTGCACCTACTATGGGGGGTCTTTGATAGTTACCTATACTATTTTAGGGTTCCCGCCTATAATTACAATATAATATACCCCTAAATGCGATTCTAATTATTAAGGCCCCTATGTTGGCAAACTCGTGTCTCAGCCTTCGGTGAGGTGGCGAATCTGGAGAGTATGCTGCTCACCTACGAAGGGGGCTACATCCTCTTCCGCTGCCCGGTGCAAGTTTACCCCCAAAGCCCTGCCCTAAACCCCAGTTCTAGGCTTCAAGAGCAAGAATCAAGTATGTTCAGCCAGAGACCTGGATGCAAAATAGGGGCACGGCTTACCAAGTCCTGGAAACCCCCAAGCCGAAACCGATGGGGACCTTAGGCTGTCAGGGCTATAAGTTCTCCGTGTCGCACAGAAGTTTCGGGAGGAGGAATGCGCACAGGTCGGAGATTGCATTTTTCAGGTGCTGGATCCGGGTTTCTGCAACCCCAAGCGCAAACCGAAGAACCCCCGCCGCGATCCTTCAAGCACCTTCCACCTGAAACCCGCGTCAAAGCCTCATGCAACCCTAACCCTGCAATTACAGTGAGTGGACCCCACAGCCACAAAAAGGTCTTTACATACGCGTTTCACAACTTGCACCAGACCGATCGAAAAGCATGTGACAAGCCTTATCTACATCCTTCTTCGGCGAATCAGAAGAACGTGTGGAACCTTAGAACCCCCCTAAAGCCACAAAATAAAAAATCCTTAACCCGAAAGCCTAGCCAAGCCCTAAACCCTAAAAGCATGCGGAGGAAGGGCCACTACACTTAAAGCAACAGAAATCTAAACCCGAACCACCTCAAAAATACCGACGCTTCATGGAGAGCAGGCCAACGCGGCCTGGACCTGTCCGCCTTCCAGGCTCGCATCGCTGCTTTGGTGGTTTTTTTTGGGTGGTTGTCAAAGTTAGGGTCCCTTTTTGGGTACCCTAAATATTCGGTGCCGTATTGTATTAAGGACCCAAAAAGGGGCCCTCATTTTGACAACCACCCCTTTAGGGGAAGAGGGTCGTTGGGGTTTAAGGGTTTAGGCTTTAGAATTTGGGGGGGCCTTGTGGGATGGCTATCTTGGGGCTTGCGTTTTCTTCCAAGAGGGTTTTAAGCTGCTTTCAGGCCTTATAGGGAAACAGGCTTTTCATAGGGTCCTGCATGGCTTTTGTATTGCGTTGTGCAGATTTTGAAAAGGATTTGTTTGGGGCTCGTGGGTCTCGTCGTTTAGGCACCAAGCCATCTGAGTCTCCTTCATGACCGCATGTGGAGACAGAGCGGCGGAACTATGGGTGAGCTCTAATGCACCTGTTTCGGGTGGTGGTACCTAGAAGATCAAGGTCAACTTATCCGCGCGACGGAAATCAGCAAGCAGGAGAATGCTCTGGAAATCAGCAATCAAGAGTGTGAAGAACGTCCCAAAAGCCCTGAACCGTAAGGATTTGGGCTCAAGCGGATCGGCGCCGTCAAGCATTCCAAAGCCCCGGTCCGAAAGCCACAGAAGTCGCAGGCGCTTCCTTGCTTAGGATGACAGCCATGGGCGGAAATGACCTGAACAAGCCAACAGGCGACCTCAACCAAGCCGAGAGAGCGGAGAGGGCAGTTGCGCAGGGTGTCCCAGTCATTGGCCCAAGTCCCGGAATTGTGGGAGCGCCGCAGCTCGCAGCCTCAGCTCCCGTCTCCTCACTACCCCCCGAGTGGCTCGTTGTCTTGAACTACCGAGTGGCTGTCATGTGCTTTGCCTTCATCAACCTCCTGACCATCGTGCTGAACGTAGCCATTGCAATCCTGAACTTGGCCGAATTTCCCTTGGATCCCAGAGGCTAGGATGCCCAGTAGTACCCTTATTCCCTTTTGGTAGTCCTAGGTTCCTTATAAAGTTACCCAATACCAAAAAGAGAGGCCTTTTTATTCTTAGGTTAGTGGGCATCCTAGGAGGCGGCGCTTGGCCTTTGATTGTCTTTGGCGTCTTCTTCATGCTTGGCCCCATTTGCGGCCTCATCGGTGCCAAATACCTCAGACGTGGATTCTTGGCGTTCTTCTGGTAAGCTCTTTAGACTTTAACTTTTTGGGTTTCTATATGAATTATAATAAGGAGGCTAAAAGTTTCACTTTTAGGAGGGGTTCAGAAGTCAGCCAAGGATTTGTGACTGTTTACGTCGGCTTCAGCTTCCTTCTCTGTGCAAGCCAGATACTGGGTTGTGCTTTGGGATAGATTTTAATTTTCCTTCATTTTTTTAAAAGGGAACCTATTCACAAATAATTTTCAAGGGGTTTAAACCACAACCCAGGATAGCCTTTGCAGTCCTTACATTCTGGCTTTCGGCGATCTTCCTTACGTTCGCACAGGCCTGGTTCACGAAGATCGCAGCCACCTTTTGGTATTGTTTGGGTACGGTTCCACTTGAGCATCGCAGCCAGCTGTTGGAGCTGAAGGAGGAAGAGGTGCAGATGGTGTACTGGTAGTTCTTGCGGAAGCGTTTGCTTCAGCCAGTGTGTTGGCAGAGTGTTGCGCTCGGCAGCAGCCAGCTTTGCTACATCGCAGATGTACAGATTGCGGCAGTCCCGCTTTGATGCCTCGGCAATGTGAAGAATATAGGGTCGAGATCGGAGCCCCGATTGCCGCTGAGGCGCTGCTTCTTCGAGACCTCTCTAGATTTTGCGTCAAAGCCCCGCCTGACGTAAGTTCATTATGAGGGCAGGCTGTGGCCTGGCGTGCTATGTCCGCGCCTGGTGTTTCTTTGTGGTTCGATGTACAGCTCACCTGAGCCATGCAAGCTGTGTCCCTTCAAAGACATGCGGGTTGAGTGTGGCTGACCTTTTATTAGCAATGTGGGAGTTTCCGAAAATAGGGGACCCTAATATAGTCCCCTAAATTGTAGGATCTTATAAGGATCCCAAAAGTACCCCAAAATACGCTACCCCTAATATTCGGAAACTCCCATGTGGAATCGTGTCATCCAGACTCGGCATAACATTCCTTTCAAACCGACTAAGCACCAAGAGAGCGAACGCCGAAACCGCAAGGAGTCCCCTCTTCCGCTCCCTCGGAGCCCTAACCATAGCCTCCATTGTAGTTCCTTTCGGGGAATTACCTTTTATATGTGCACATGTAGGATCCTAAAGTATAAACCACAAAACGGAACTACAATGGAGCCTAAAGGTAACTGACAAGCATACTATACAAGTCTACTGTTATACACACCAGATCTCAATGTTTTGGTCTTACTTTGCCACAAGTGGGTAACATTTTGCATGTATCTGGGTTGTTAAAACCAAGAAGGAATATGAATAGACTTTAAAATGTTAATGATATCCCGGCCATGGACTGGATTGTTGCTTTCGAACTTGCCGGAGGAGCGCTCAGACGTCTTCCCTGCTACATGGTCGGGGGCCAGCCGACCGCTGAGCCTTTTCGAGGCATACTTGGGGGGGTCATGGGACTTCGTAATTTTGGTTATAATTACAGTGTTTGGGGTTACAGGTACTTATAACTATAGTTATTCTACGTAATAATAACCCTACTTACTGTGATCCGTGATCCTTTCAGTATCCGATGACTTGGCGGGTTGGGGGTTCACCAGGTACGGGGTTTCAGGGTTTAGGTTTCAGGGTTACGGCTCATCTCTGTTTGTTGTTTTATTTCTGGGTTTAGATGTTTAGATAGTTCGGATTACAGGTTCACTTCCGTGGTCTGGCAGTATTGCAGTTCGTAGAGTTCAGATGACCACGGTAGGAAGTTTAGATTCGTATTGTTGAAGCTGGCAGCGTGGAGCTTAAAGAGTGGATCCTTGCGTCCGGGGCACAAAGTTTGAATTTGACCTGGTGGTTTAGGGTTCTGGACAAAGTTTAGATCTTTGCAGTCGGGCCTAGTTCCAGAACCTTACTAAAATATCTGAAGCAGGTAGTCCATGTGTCGACCCGCTTTGCCTTTACAGCCCTCAACGCTGACTCTCAACTGCACAGAGGCGTGCGTGATAAAATGTTTAACAACAGGCGTCTGCACATGTTTCAAATTACTGCAATATGTTGCAGTCATTTCCTTTTTGAAAATTGCTGCAGCCTCTACTGTAGACCCACCCTCCCAGCTATACAATGCTATACATCCGTAGTTACGCAGACCCAGCCTCTAAACCCCATAAACCGACCCAAGCCAGATCCTCCCTCAACAATACAAACTTTAAGCGCGAGCTCTAAACTCGTAGCCAGAGCCCTACAGCCCTGAACCCCACAGACCCTACGGCCTGAAACCCAAGCCTTAACAAACCCAATTCAGGTGCTTTAACTCCAAGAGCCTGAAAACCCTGAAGCCCTCAAAGCCATGCAACCCTCAACCCCCGAGACTTGCAACCCCAACAGCCGCGAAACCCTCCCCGAACCCCAAACCCTAAACCCTAAACCCTCTTCGTGCGGACCCAAAAAGGAGCCCTTAAAACAAACAAAAAAAAATTAAACCCTAAAAGCCTACAAGCGCAGGCGCCGGCCAGCGCTTCGCGACAGCTGGCGCTCTCCTGGCGGAGTCCTCTCATTCACCTCAAGGCGTCCCAGACCTGAAATACGCACGTTAAACCCAAAACCCGGAACGGCTTAGCGTTTAGGGACCCCGGCACCGTCAAACAACTTGAGTATGGAAGTGCCGGGCCATTTGGGCACCATAAAACAGGGTCTCTTTGCCTCAAAGCATGAGGGATCGATGATATGATTCAAGGTACCTGAAAACCCTAAACCCATGACGGGGTTTAGGGTTCAGAATTGAATTTAGGGTTTAGGGTGTAGGAGTTCAGGGCTTCGGAGTTCCTGCTGCCACGAGAGCAGCGTGGAGCAAGACAGCTGTCCTGGCGTGGCGTTGCAAGCCAGTTGCAAAAGGAGTTCAGGCCCTACTATCCTGCAGCCGGGCTTGACGCTTCGAATGCCTGGGAGAGAGAGAGAGAGAGAGAGAGAGAGAGAGAGAGAGAGAGAGAGAGAGAGAGAGAGAGAGAGAGAGAGAGAGAGAGAGAGAGAGACAGAGAGAGACAGAGAGAGACAGAGAGAGACAGAGAGAGACAGAGAGAGACAGAGAGAGACAGAGAGAGACAGAGAGAGAGAGAGGGCCTACTTGGAGGACAGCTCCTCGTCTTCCAAGTCCCCGGCACCTGCTAGCTACACCTGAGTTCGAAGCCCGCAATTTGAAGCCCTAGACTCTAAACCCCAAACAACCCTAAACCCCTAAACCTCAGATCCTCAACTCTCAAACCTTTTATACAACCCAAAGCCGTAAAGCCTCAACCTCGGCTCCCGAAAACCAGAAGCCTCCCTGACCGAAACCCGGAGAACATGTGGGTGGTTGTCAAAATTATGGTCCCTTTTTGGATCCCTAATATCGTAGGGCACCCAAGAAGGGACCATAATTTTGACAACCACCCATGTAATTCCAAGGCAGACCATCGCCAACCCTGGATCCAATCTCACCGTAGCCTCAAGCCTTGCGCCGCCACAAGCTATCTCGCCCCCCTCGCCCCTCAAGGTCTGGGGTTGAAAGGCTTTTAAGGGTTTAGGATCTAGGGGCTGCAGATTTGTTGGCATTGCGTTTCAAAGTTTAGGCCTTAGGCTATCGGATTCTCGCATGGTGTGCCTGAACATGCTTTGTGCAGGCTCACACAGCCTTATGTCCTCAAAGTCCCCGGAGGCTCCTAAACCCTACCCTACCCAGTAGGCCCCAAAGTAGTTCCTTTTTGCGGTTACCTTGCAGGATGCTAAATATGAACCCAAAAAGGAACTACTTTGGGGCCTTAGGGTAAACCCTAATGTCCTCAAACCCTATAAACCCTAAACCCCTAAACCCTAAACCGTCCCCTTTGAGGCCGAGGAGGTGACAACAGTCGAAGAGAAAGCCCCGCGCCCCAAAGCCGAGCTGCAGGGCCGCGTGCTGGGCTGAGCGAACTACCCTAAGGGTTTAGGGTTTAGGGCTCCATAGTAGTTCCTGTTTGGGGTTACCTTTTCGGATTCTAAATGTGAAACCCAAAGGAACTACTATGGATCCTCTAGGTATGGGGGTTGCTTCGACTGAGCTGCCTTGGGACTTGGTGGTTTCAAGGGGCTTGGTGTTTTGAGCTTTGGTTACTCCCGAATGGCCTGTGTTGTGGTTGGTTTGGCCCTTGGTCTTGAAATGTTGGCAGTACTAGTTTACTAGTGGTCGGGGGAAGATTCATTTCGGCACTGGCCAACGTCAGAGTCAGAGTTTTTTGTGAGAGTGGCAAGGTTCAGGGTAAGGACTAGCCCAGTGAGAAGACTGCGTGTACTGATATTGTGTTGGCGGGCAGTACTACAGGGGGGAGGGGGAGTGTCAGTCACGATATCGCCTGGTTTATAGGCACCATTTAAAGTTCATCCAAATCATTCAGGCTGTATGCCAACCCCATCAAACCCTTCAAAACCGTTTTACAACTCTTCAAGTCCTTGGGTCAGACTTGCAATTGCAAAGGTCCCGGATGTGATTCATCCGCTGAGTGGCCCCCGATGGATCTTCGTATCCGAAATGGCCCAGGTCCCGGATCCTCGCTAGTAAGGGTTTCAAGGGGTTCGTTAAGGGTTTGTCAAGCTGCTCTGCAAAACTTCTACAAAGATTTGGGGTTTGGGGTTTCGAGGTCTCCCAAGAGTACACCGGTTGCCTTGCGTTCCTTTTTGAGGGAGGTTGGGGCTCCCTGCTAACAAGATTGAATAGTTTACAGGGAAAGGCTACGTTCTTGTGCTGCGGAGACTCGCCAACCTAGTCTTAGTTGCCGAAAAGGACGCGGCGTGAACCATAAGCCATAAGCTGTTCCTTCAAGTTCCTTGACATGTTCATTTTCTTGATCCGCCTATATAGCAAGTCCTAGCCTCAGTGTTTCGTTGCAAGGGCGTGCAGGCGATGTGGAGCCGAATGTGCACAGGATCACTGTGTTGCATAAGACAGTGTTGCATGCTGTATCATGTGTTGTGTTGTATTTTGTTGTGTTGTAGTGTCTTGTGTTGTATCGTAATGCAGCAGTGTAATGTACTGTAGTGTGCTCTAACGTGTTGCTTTGTCGTGTACAGTATATCGCGACGTACCGTAACGTACTGTAATGCAATGTAATGTATCCATGCACATGTACTATCTGCAAGTGCCTGCTTGTACATACATGTTTGCCTGTATATGTTTATACTTATACCCACACATATCCCTATATATATATATATATATATGTATATATGTAGACTTAGTATTGATACACAGTTTTCACACATGTATAAACGACGAATGTGGACATGTACCGTGGTCAGCGCGAGGGAGAGACGCACACTCGCTGAGACTAGAAGAAGAAACAAACAGACAGACAGACAGAGAGAGAGTGAGAGTGAGAGTGAGAGCGAAAGAGTATGTGTCCTAGCATTGCGGGCATTGCTGTTTGTATTCTCCCAGTGTAGCTTGTGCAGAACCCACGGAGCAGCGTAGAACCACAACAACCCGCGTCCTGTCCTTCTATCCCCAACATCTTCCAAACTTCTAAACACCAAGTCCTGCACTTCTATCAGAACTGCATCACGGGTGACTGACAGATTGCAAAGATCGCAATGGAACTTGCCGCTGGCCTTTGAAGGGACAGACGCAACCGTCCCTGAAGATGCAGTTACAAAGCCGTAAACAGAGGGACATGTGCGATCGCACGCAATATGGTTGCAGGGTTTAGGGGTTAAGGGTTTAGGGTCACATTGTAGGTTCTGCATCATCAGACAGCAGCGAAGAAAACTGAATGTGCTGGTCGGGCGTAGTTGTTTCCTTACTTGCATTTCTTTCAGCCGCAGAAGCTGCTTCAGCCTTCCGCCGCAATGCTTCGCATCACGATGCTGTCAGGGGAGGACTTGGCAAGTATGCCTCTGGAGGAGTCGTGGGATGTGAAGGCCTTGAAGCGCAAACTGTGGCTGCATGGCTTGCCAACACGATTCAGGCAAAGACTGCTCCTTGGTGGCAACACTTTAGACGATTCTGTCAAACTTGACTCGCCGACGGACCTGGAGCTCGTCCTGCTTCCTAAGGCTCCAAGTAGTTCCTTTTTGGGATTACCTTATAGGATTCTATATATGAAACCCAAAAAGGAACTACTATGGAGCCTCTAGGTACATACATCGAAGCTACCCAGATGCAAGCGCAAGAGCTGGCCAGGGCAGCTACCAACGGCTCCACCTCCGAGGCCCCTAAACCTACAAGGGGTTCAGGGTTTAAGGTTTGGGATGAGGACAGGGGTTCTTGGGCTTAATCATAGGGACCCTTAGGGGGGATGGGGGGAGGGGGTAGGGGGCCTAAGGAAGTATAGTCCCCTATCCCCCTGCCCCCTACCCCCCGAAGGGTCCCCTTACCTAGACCCAAGTAGGTAAAATCATGGCCCAAAACCTATAAAAGGCTATCATGCTACATACTGTTGGGGTCCAGGTAAGGGTTTAGGATATTCATCGCTTTATGCATGCCCAAAATACTTATCAGGCCTATTTAAGGAAGTATAGTCCCCTACCCCCCCCTAACCCTTTAAGGGTCCCTCTGACTTAAGGGTTTAGGATGTTCATCGCTTTCTGCTTGGCTTTAGCCTGGAGGTCGAGGCAATTCTTCAGCGGCCACAGCACCCGGACATGGTCGATACGCAGGGTAACTTAGCTGAGTGGGTAACTTTTCTCAGGGTTTGGGGTTCTACAAGGGGTTCCTTTCAGGGATCTGCAAGGGTACTATAAGGGTTTAGGACCCCTTTTCCTTATGGGGTTTTTGTACCGACCACATTTAAAAGCGTTCACCTTTTTTGGGCTAGGGTACTCAGCCTCTAAACCCTAAACACCTAAACTATATAAATCCCTAAACCCCAAACAAGCCCTAAACCCTGAACCCCTAACCTAAACCTAAGGTACAAGTCCTCTCATGGAGGCCGCTTGGGCTGGACACGTTGAAGTTCTGGTCTTACTGCTCGAGGCCTTAGTAATGAGAATAGGGGTTGGGGTGTATTACTTGAACCCCGAAGAACCTACATGTCCAAGGACTTATATAAAGAAATCATAATAAGGAACCCTAAAAAGGTAGGTTATTCGGGGTTAAGGTATACTATAAAGAAGCCCAGAAATTATCCTCGATTGTCAAGGCCCTAAAATACTCTGGAGGCTGGTGCCGACAAGAACCTGGGCGACAATGACGGCTACACTGGCTTAATGCTAGCTTCTTCACAAGGCCAGCCTGCAATTCTGGAAATCTTGGTGGCAACCGGTGCCGACAAGAATTTGCGCAACAATCACGGCTGCACTGCACTCATGCTAGCATCTCAGGAAGGCCATGCAGAGATTGTACGCTTGCTGCTGGAGGCTGGTGCAGACAAGAGCTTGGCAAGCAACCACGGCTACACTGCCTTGACGCTTGCTGCTCACGCAGGCCATGCAGAAGTTGCACGCTTACTGCTAACCGACGGTGCCGACACAGACATGGCCAGGATCAACAGTGGGCACACTGCCCTAATGCTAGCTTCTGCACAAGGTCATTTGGACATTCTGCAAGTGCTGCTGGAAGCCGGTGCGGACAAGAACTTGACCACCGACGACGGCTGCACTGCGCTGATGCTGGCTTGTTAAAACGGCCACGTGGAAGCTGCACGGTTGCTGCTGCAGGCCAGTTCCGACAAGAACATGCGCAACAGTGTCGGTGGCACTGCCCTCATGTCAGCTTCTGAAAACGGCGCGCTGATGAAAGCTTGTCAAGATTCTGGGATTGCTAGTGGAGGCTGGTGCCGATAAGAACCTATCATGCGCTGAAGGCTGGACTGCCCTGATGCTCGCTTGCCACGCAGGCCAAGCAGAGCTTGTGCGTTTGCTCCTAGACAGCAGAGCCGACATGAATTCACGCAACAATGAGGGCAACACCGCGCTGATGATAGCTTGTCGAGAAGGCCACAATGAGATTCTGGGATTGCTAACCGAGGCCGGTTTCCACAGCAATTTGCTTAACAACGGAGGCCACACAGCCCTCATGCTCGCTTCTCGAGGAGGCCACGACGCAGCTTTGGATGAGGTTGCAAATGAGATCTCAAGCAACAAGCGGCGCCGCTGTTAAGCTCCTTGAAAAAGTCACGCTAAACCTTTGCAGTTGCACTGCATGTCGCTGTGCCGCGGCATTGTACAAGTTTTCAGATTTCGCTTCATTGCAACTAGCTAGGTGGAAGCGGTTGCGACAAGACTATCAGCTGCACGGCTTTCCGGCGGCAGCGTTTAGCGTTTAGGGCTCCGAGATCAAGTAATCAAGTAATAGCGCCTGAAACCACAGGGAAAAGCGAGGCCCTAAAACCACGGCAGAGAGCCCGGAAGCATTTAACCCTAAACCCCTCAACCCTAAACCCCTAACGCATAAACCCCTAAACCCCTAAACCCTAAACTCCTAAACCCTAAACCCCTCAACCCTAAACCCTAAACCCCTAAACTCCTAAACCCCAAACCCCTCAACCCTAAACCCTTCAACTCCTAAACCCTAAACCCCTCACAACCCTAAACCTTCAGCTCAAAACAGAGAGGATGCGGCCAGCTTTCAGCCCGAGGCTTGCCTCAAGGTGCGACGTCCCGTTCAGCCTCAGAGGATGTTAAGGGTCCTTTAAAGGGATTCTTTAGGGCTTCCTTAAAGGGATCTATAAGGGTTCTATAAAGGGTTTTAGGGTTTAGGGGTACCGCATTTAGAGGATGTTATATGGGAGTTTCCGAAAATTAGGGGTACCTTGTTTTGGGGTTCCTTTGAAGGGTTACTATAAGGGTACAATAAAGGTTCCTTTAAAAGGGCCCTATAAAGGTTTGGAGTTTCCGTTGAAGTCCTTATAATAAGGATCCTAGTATTTAGGGTGCCATATTAGGGTCCCCTATTTTCGGAAACTCCCAGATCAGGGTTTCAGGGCTCAGAGTTGATTGAAACAAACTCGGATGCATTGGGAGCAAAGGGCGCGGCGGTCTAAGAGGTCAGGGCGTACAGTATGGTTTCAGAAATTCGGGGTTCAAGTTTAGGGTCTAGGTGTTCTTGCGTGGTTCATGTTGTTGGTGTACTGTGTACTGGTATACCAAGCTTGGCAATCAGGCTTTGCAAGGGTTCGCGAGTGGGGATGGGGCGTACCTGAGGATTCCAAGTTTTACCCAAGATCCACCAGGAACCTTTACGCCAAGCCTCACAACGCCCTAAACCCCAAGACCTTGCAGCCCTAAATCCGTAAACCTTAACACATTACAGCCCCAAAGCCCTTGAAGCCTACAGCCCGAAAGCCCCACAGCCCCCTGCAGGCCCTAAACCCTAAAAACCCTAAACCCTAAAACCCTCCAGCGCATTGCAGGGTACTGTCCTTGCTAGGTAGGAGGGCAAAAAACTCTCCAGCCCCAGAGCCCAAAACCCATGAACCCTGAACCCTAGCTCCCCTGATAGCCAAGGAACTCCCAAGGGTCCAAGTACCTAATACTTGGAGGGTCGGGGGACTTAGTAACTGGTTATTTTTGGGACTTATAAGTACCATAAGCCCAATTAGGGTCCCTTTTAGGGTACTTATAAGTCTACTTACTAACTACTTACTAAGTCCCCCGACCCCCCAAGTAATCATATACTCTCCAACATCATAACCTACAGAACCACTGGGTCCTTTGGAGTTTCAGGGATCCCTTTTCTAAGGATGCCCTAGAAAGCTCTGACAGAAGGGTCTTCGGATGCAGATTCTGCACATGTAGCCCAGGGGCCATAATAATGAATAGTCTCTCTAGGGTTTAGGGGTTTAGAGTTTAGGGTTTAGGGTTTAGGCTTGGGGTAGTAGAAGTATACTATAGTATGCCCTGCCACACTCTTTCATTCGTACGGCCCCTAGACTAGAGGTATGAATAGGCATTTAGCAGCTTGAGTCGGAAGCAGCCCCAATCTGAGTGCATTCAGGCAGTTCGGGATTTCGGGTTTGCTGGGAAAGCTTGCGGGATAGGCATGGGGGGCTAAGACTTGGGGTTTCAGGCACTTGTTTGGAGATGTCCATGCATGCTGTAACGTAATGTCATGGTGGGAGCCCTAAACCTTAAAACTCTAAACCCTAAAACCCTAGACCCAAAGCCCTGAACCCTAACACCCTAAACCCTAAAACCCAAACCCTGAACCCTAAACCTTAAAAACCCTAGACCCAAACCCTAAAACCCTAAACCCTAAAATCCCTAGACCCCAAACCTTAAACCCTAAACCCTAAGTTTCTGTATGCTATCAACAATGACGGTGGCAACTCGCGGCTGTTTTTGTGACGGTGGGGATCTGAGTTGCAGGCATTTCTCTCCGTACACAGGATATCATAGGATTAGTCTGCGGGACTAGCTGGGCATCTGATGCTTAGTAGGGAATAGGGAATGGCTCCTTTTCGTAGTCCCTATATAATCCCATTTATTGTCTCCTTTATGAATTCCGCCATTCCCTGCTATACAAGAACCAGACAGTTGGGCATCGGCAGGTCCTACCGGTCTACATCACCGGTGAGGGCTTCACCTTCCACCAGCAGTGACGCGGATTGCAGTCAGCGCGCTCACGGACCCAACCCGAGCAGTCGAACTTGTGTGAACTGTGAGGGCCATAGTAGGCCCGAAACCCTAAACGCCACAGTAAGCCCTAAACCCTATACCAACAGTAAGCCTTAAACCGTGGAAGCCCCGAACCATGAATCAACCGACAACTGGCTCGCAGACCCGACTCCTGGTCACCAAGAACCATCATAGGGTTTAGGGCTCAGGGCTTAGGGTTCAGGGTTTAGGCAAAGGCCTTGAAGCATGTAAGGCCTTACCTTTGAGAGCTATATGACTCCTCCTATAAAACCTTCCACGTAGGAGGCTCATAAAGAAAAGAGAACCTCGATATAGCACCATAAACAGTAGGCTGCCGCTGATGTTGGTTGAAAGCCACCCCTAAACCCCCGAGAGTGATGACACCTGCCTCATTGCTTGAGCTTTTGGGCCTGATGTGGCCGGCATGCCGGCAACATGGTCTGGGTAATTGTGCTGCAAAGACCCGTTCCATGGAGCACCTTCATGTTCAGACAGTTTGCTTTTGCTCACCAGAACCCAAGGCAGACATGACCTGATCCGCAGTTTCCTAGACCCCCGGCAGGATCCAAAAAGTATGTAGATCCCTCAATGGGGGTTCCTATAAAGTACCCTTAGTCGTCTAGGGCCCCAAATTAGGGGATCCGGGGGTCGGGGTTATGAATAGCAAGCAAAAGCACCCGTGCACAGAAAGTCAGTACCGGCCTCACCGCTGGCCTCTTCGAGTTACACTTTCCAGGGTCAAGAGTTGAGGCTTTGGGGTCAGCAAGTTCTTGAAGCTTATTCGAAGTTTCCGAGAGTTTGCGGTACCTTATCTTGGGGTCCTTAAAATAAGGATCCTACTATTCAGGGTACTCTATGGCCCCCCTATTTTCGGAAACCCCCATCTTGGTTTCCATAGGTCAAGGTTATGGGAGTTTTGCTGAGATGCTATTGCTAAGACCCAAAGCAAACCTACCGGCCTCCCTAGGGACGCCCCAGGCCTCCGTTCGTCGCCCCACGGCACTTGCCTGGTCAGAGCGCGGGAGACGCAATCAGCATCCCGGACGGCACCCTAGGCGAAGGTTTAGGCTGTAGGCTTGTAGGGAATTAGGTTAAGGTGTAGGAGGCAGGGGGTTGAGGAGGCATGAGGTTGCATATGTAGAATTTAAGTAGGTTGCAGGTTGAGGGTGTCTTGTCAGAACGCGAATGAATGCGGGGCTGGCTCGGGCTTTCGTGATGATATCGCGAATGGGACACAGACGAGTGCTTGGGTTGCCATCAAGAGAGATGCCTTGCTTAGGATTTGAGGATGCATGCTCAGATTTGAAGTCATAGTTGGGATCCTACCATATTTAAGCTGAATTCCTTAATAAGGAAATCTTGAAAAGGGGTGAAGGCGAGGGTGAGCATGAAAAGCTTCTAAGACCATCGTGACCGGCCCTGCTAGTCCGAGTTGTGAGAGCGTTTCTGCCTCGCGCTGTTTCTTAACAGGGATCTCCCCGCCCCATCAAAAAAAATCCTTACCCTCTGTGAGGAAAAGAACCATACTAAATCCTGACGAGCTGCCCAGAGACTCCAATATCCCGTGGTTGAGAGTATTCTTTAAATCATAGTTGGGATCCTACGATAATTTAAAGTATGTTCCTTAATTAGGGGATATTGAAGTGGTTCCACTGCTCAGGCCCGAAGCGTCCAGCCTTCCCTGCAGTGATGTCCTCGACGTATCGGAGCCACAGCAGCGGTTGAGTTGGACACACGAAATCTGCTGATTCCAGGCAGCGTTGTATATGTGCTGCGTAGGCGTAGGCCTATAAGCCCCAAAGCCTAAAAACAAACCCCAAACCCCTGAGCCCTAATGAGGGTTTCTATATCGGCTTCTTGAAGGTTTTGCGGGGGCTTTATGGGTGTGTTGAACCTGAACGGCTGAGCGAGATTAGAGCTCTGGCTGGTTTCGAATTTGGTATCTTGGGTTCAGGGGGGGGGTATGGCTGGGGGCGTACGAGCAGAGAACGAAAGCTTGGACCTCAAGACTCAAGTCCTCACCTGGACCCCTCAAAGTAGGTAAA